GGGGGGGGTTCGGTAGCGCCCCGCCCGCATCAAGTCAATAAACAAGCAGCAGTTACAACAACAGCAGCAACACTGGGAAAAAATTGAAGGATGAAAAGGAAGGAGAGCCGCCGCCCGTCAGCTTTTATATGGCATTTCCCCAGTGCCATCGTTCCGTATAGAGTCCCGTTCTCCCATTGCCGCCGCTCCCCATTAAAGCTCAGTGCACACACACACACACACACACACACAATATGCTCGTACATTTAACGGTTCCCAGAACCCCAAAGAGCTGTTTTTCTCTCTCACACCAGCACTGCCACAACCACACTCTCAGTCGGTGACTCTCTCTCCGCTTCCTTACCGCTCTCTCTCTCTCTCTCTCTTGCTCTGTGCTGCGGTGCTCCCTCTTGCTCTGTGTCATTCTCCTTCGATGCCAGAGTATTTGTCAATGTTGCTTTTCTTGGCTTGTCATTTATTTCATCATTTATGCAAAATTTTATTGCTTTTCCTTGTATTTTGGTTTTCAATGAGAGACTAACGGGGGAGGCTGTCGTACAATGGGAATACGGGTTGCTTGGGGCGTACACAATTGGGTGGGTCATAAGCCCAAACCCCCACAAGAAGCCAAAGGAAAAACTTGCCAATTAAATGCATGTACTACAATAGTTGTTGCGTCTCCAGAATCGGTGTAAGTAGAGGAAAATACCACATTAAATTAAGTATTGTTTTGGTAATCTTTTTGGAAATTAAATCTGCTCTCAGCATGTATCGGGTAACCTTCTATACTAGTCGAAATATCAAGCACATGTAATATTCTTTCTCGTTTTCCCCTCTGATTTGTTTGTCCTCGGCTTCGAACGCATTTCTTGTGCTCGCTGGCGTGCGGCTAATTAAAGCGAATGCCCCATGGGCAGTGGCAACACAGTGAGTGGAACTCCAGGCAATTACTTGGGTGTCCTGTGGCCGCCCGCGGCCCCTATCAAAATCAGGGGAGAAGCAGAGCCAAGAGTGTGCTTTGAACTTGTTTCAATCTCGTTGGTTGCGTGGCATGCGGCACAGAACAAAGCACCAATACGAGTTCTGCGGCATACATACATACATAATTATGCGGAACCCAAAACCAAAACCAAAGCAGACCTTAGATCCTTTCCCGATAAATGCTACTAAATAATACATTTTCTTGTGGCCACGACAGCACGAAGTGGCCCTGGCGCAGGGGCCTACGCTCGAAACGGGCACAAAGTTGTTCCTTCCTTCTGCTGTACTTTGTGGCAGGTCTTGTTGCATGCCTCACTGCGTTTTCATTATACTACGACAGAAAGAGAGAGAGAGAGACAGAGCGAGAACGAGAGAGCTGGTTGGCTGCAAGCGGTTCAAGGGCATTTCCCTACAACAAAAATACTAAAACAATGGCCAGTGCCTTTTAGGTAAATGAAAAGCTTTGGCAAATAAAACAAATGCGTGCACTCGCATTTAAATGTTGTCCTGTGCTGTGCTGCGCTGCGCTGTCCTATCCTGTGCCCGCAAATTGCGGCAATTAATTCCCAGACATGATGGCAGGACATGCGCGAGGGATAAAAAGTAAATCATGATTTCGGCGCGGATTAAGTGGGGGCCAAGCAGAACATTTACTTAGAAAATGTGTGCCTCATAAAACTGGGAAGGCGGGTGGGTGCGCTCACAAGCGCAAAAGATCAAAAGTTGCCACCGGCCGACCGACTGTAGTTGTAGTTAAGCGCCTTAGAAGTGGAGCGTAGGAGCCAACTTGCGTACAATAAAGCGTATACGCAATCCCATTTTGGGCGGCAGCTTAATTGCAGCAAAAGGGAGGGGAGAAATCCAAACTAACAAGCAACTAAACTTACCCTCCGCGTCTTTCAGTGTTTGTCTGTCTTTCAGTTCTGTTCTGCTTCCTTCCACATAATTAACTTTTAATGGCAAAGCCGAAAACAAATCCTTGCCTCGTGCCACACACACAGAGCCTCTGTTTCTTACGAGTGTGAGGTGTGAGGTACACGAAAATGACTATTGCTGGAGCCTAATGGCCTAGGAAATATTCATTTAACATCTGCAATTGTTATTTGTTTTGTCTTAAACGGATTTTAATTGATTTTACACTTGAAACTCTCTGGAATGTTGGCCATTTCTTGCACGGCAACTTGATGGTGTGGAAGGCGTGATAAATTCCTGAGAAATTGTAGATAATTCAATTAAGAGTTCTCAGTGAGTTCGGTGTGAAATGACCCAAATTAAAATTGATATTTATGTGTTCGAAATAATTTCGAGTTATGTTCTTTACCTGTTTTGAAACTGCATTGTAATGCAAATTCCTGTAGTTTTTCGTACTTTTTCCTACAGTTACAAGTTGCAATTTGGCCTCGACTGCACTTGTGCAAAACCTTTCACTGCATTTAATTTGAACGTTAAATCAATAAAAACCGCTATTGACATTTGCTTTTGGCTTGGGCAGCGTTCAAGCGCTGAGCTATTTTGGTTATTACACGTTGATATCACGGCATAAAAGGCTTTGCCTTTGGCAGGACTCAAACCATTGTTGATGGTTAAATGCATATTTCATGATGTCTCGGCCGTCGACGCTACTGTCATGTCCATTGGCCCACCTGCACAGACCGACCCACCGAATCCTTTGACTGGCATTTCGACAGCATTGCTGGCTGGCAGTGCTTCGGTGTATTTTCGTTGTTTTTTGCAGCCTTATGACGGCCGTGAACCGCACGGTGCTGAAAAGTGCTCAATATCGCATAAAAGCGGAGAGCGGAGCAAATGGCGAATGGCGGAGTGGAAGCGAGTGGCATGTCAGGTGGTGGTAGTCGGGTTGCCTTGTAAAGTGTGGCACGTTGCACAATTTAAAAAGGCAGCCAAACAAAGCCAGTCTGTGTGTGCGGCAGAGTGGCAAAAGTAACACGTACCAAAAATATGGCCTGGGGCAAATGTGCAATCATTCATCTCGAGAACTACTCGACAATGCATTCCACTCGCCCGACTGCTAACCTGCCACACGGCTACTCTGCTACTGCCCCTCTCTCTCACTCTCTCTTGGAGGCAGTCTCGTCTCGTGTCTGTCTCTGGTTTTTGAAGTGGAATTCAAAGGAATTTTACACTCTTCCATTTATAACGAAATGTAGTTGGCTTTTTATCAATATTTAAGCAGCCAAAAAGGTTTCCCGCTTATAGAGATTCCATTAGTTTTATTCTCTCTCTGTCTGCGAACCAGAGTCAATGGAATCTTTCTTTGTTGATGACGGCCCACCCTCGGGGGCGTATATGCAATCAAAAATTGTGTATCACATGACAAATTCAATCATACAAAGCACACGACCTAATTGAAGCGAATGCGTGTGCTCTCGGCCGGAGGCATTGCCTCGGCAAAGACAAATGTTGACTTGCTGCCAGTTAGACCAAAAATATTGTACTACATAAAGCCAGAAGCCAGATAGAGTCAAGCAGTTTAGGCAGGCACCAAACGACAGACAGCAGACAGTAGAGAACATAGCCGTCAGGCATTCATTCATCCATCCATCCATCCAGCAGCAAGCCATATCAATTATTCAGACATAATTTGAAACATTGTCGTACTCTCTACGAGCAGTGCTCTTGGCTTTAGCCTGCTGCATAGGATTGTGATATCCTAGATAAAGAGGGTCAATTCTTTGAATCGATATTCAGAAATTATGCTAGATAAAACCCCTAAAAGTAAAGAAATTATTTTGTATTTATTATAGTTGTAATGGCAGAGACTTTTCCGTTTCTCTATCTCTAATTTTTATAAAAATCTCCATGGAAAATTCCCTTAATTGTAACATTTTTCGGCCTTACAGGATATACTTTATTCGCCACACAATAAAATATCATTCGTACTGCCTTTGTCCTCAGCTCTGTGCTCTTCTGCGTGCCTGTCTGCCACTCGACTCGGTTGAGTTTTTGCCTGAAAACTTTTTAAATTATTTAAATGAGGAGAAAATGTACACACAAAAGGACGAAGCTCTCGACACAACTTTTTTTTGCTCTCCCAGTTTTATATATCATATTCTGTGCATCTTTTTTTTTGCTTTCTTTCTCGTTTATTATTTTAGATCGGGAGGCAAACGCACAACTTTTTGGCTCTCTGGGTGTCTGTCTGTGTGTGTGTTCTATGTGTACGTAAAACCATTTGCTAGAAAGCATTTTTATGTGCCATGTGCCAGTGTGAGAGGAGTGGGTTATCCGTGGGGCTATTCAGGTTATTTGGTCTTGCCAGAGGAAGATAGGACACAGCACGGCAGAGCACCACTCGGCCACTAATACCAATTAGCGTGCCCTGGAAAGTGTGCTTCAAATTATGTGCCCTAAAGGGGTAGTGGGAGATGCACATAGTTGATATATCATATTGGGGTTCCGGGATGGCTAGCATATGCCCCCAAACACCCCATCATCAGTCGACGTCCATCTATACAAATCCCCGTACAAAGAGCCGCAGGGCGAGTGCGAGGCGTATGTGTGTCTGGGGCTGATAAGGAAGCAGCAGAACAGCGGTGGCAACAGCCACTCCATTTGGCTTTCATCGTAAATTAGTTATTGGCATGTTATACCAGACGATAATGAAACTTTACCCTCCCCCAATGACTCCCATTTATCTTCCTCTTCTCTCTGTCGTTCTCTCTTTCTCTTGTAGGCAACATGTGTGTGGCTTGAATCCGTGCAGAAGACAACAACAACTACATACAGGCAGAGAACAAGCGTAGAACAACAACCGGAGGACAACCAACCACTAGTGGGACATTGGATTTAGCTGGGGACATAAAATGCATTTACATTTCGAGCGGAACATCAACACAAAATGCGACTGCACGATACTCTCGCTATCATGGATGGGAAAGGTGCCAGATGATATACCCGAGGTAAGTGCTGCTGCCCCTCCCATTTCCGACCCAAAGCCATTAGCTGTGCGGTCCAAACTGTCATTCTTCCCCCCTATGTGTCCGGACTCATTTGTCCTTCTTCTAAGGGGTTCAATATTAATTCAATAAATACTGAACCATGTCCATTAAGCCGTGGGGCATTTTAAACTATTAAGAAGGGAGGCGCCTTAGCTCTAACCCTGACTCATGTGCTTGTACAGGTTGTATTCCCTAATGTGCACAACATTGCATTAATTTCTGGTTACGTTGGCCCTACGCTTTTCAGGCTTCAAATTGATTTTACATGCCAACCTCCCCACCTCCATGGGAGGCAATCGATTGGTTGGTTTTATGGGGATTGGGGAATAAAAGAGAAAGGTGCTTGTACGGTGTTACGGTGGTTGACTGTCTGAGTGGATGGGCCGTAACTTTTCCAATCATTATGAACTTTCAATGCTTGCACAACAAATGCCATATAATCCTTTTTATATTGAATATAAAAATCCAATCACGTCTGTCTTTCGCTATCCTCCACGTGCATTCTCCAGCTACAGCTCTCCAGCTGTAACCTCCTCATAGCCTCCTACCGTTACAGTCCTTCTTTTCCAGTTGCCTATCTGTTGGTTCTGCACCCACACTGAAGGTTCTGCTCCTTCTATGATGGCTCTTCTGTGTTTTGTAGCGCAAAATTAAAGTTAAGTGAAAATTGGCCCACGAAGCAGCAACTGAAGCAGCCTCAAGTGGATCTTTGGAGTTCTGTCCGTCTCCCTGTATCTGGTTTCTTTTCTATGTTGCGTCGCCCATAAACTCGTTTTGCGATTTATTTAACAGTTTTCAATTTCGTTTTCAACACTCGTGTATGACTCTCTGGGCATCGAAGTGGGGTGTCTGTATAAGTGCGGCCACGGGACACGTGTCGAGGTTTGTCAGAGTGAGGCAGACGCGTGCTCTTGCGATTTCCTCATTTCCCGTTTCCATTTCCATTGCCATTGCCATTGCCATTCCGATTGTGAGTGGTGTGTTGCAAGTGCGCTAAGCCACAAGCTTAATTCCTTGTTACGCCCTGGCAGCAATTTACCAGCGATAAGCACTTCTCCCACCCCCTCCGCTATCTCGATGGTAGAATTTTCCCCTTTTTTCTGTCCAACCCCACGACCAGCCGTTCATTGGGGAGTTGGCCTCATTTCCCTTTCCACTGCCAATAAATCATCTGCATATTAAAACAAGCGAGAAAATACTCTCGAGAGTGTCCAATTTGCCGGGGAATCATAATATTTTAACAACTGCGTCGCCATTAATAGAATATTGATGATGGAGTGGTGGAACGGTGCTGCGGGGGAGTGGTGCGTCATCGCGTGGTCTCTGATTTATTGGCCATAGAACAACAACGTCCTTCGAGTGGATATCCATCCTTACAGCTTGTGTCAGAATCAAAGACAAAGCTGCTCTCCTGCAGTGGAGTCTGTCATATGCAGAAGGATATACCATATACCACGACTCTGCATAGACATTTCCATTTTCATTTCCATCGTTTGGCCAGAGTCTTCTGCTTCGTTTGCCATCCCAAGGGTTGTACTCACAAATTGACATGCCAGCGGACAAGGACAAGCGCACAGCTCAAATCGTAAATGGAAATTTAATAGCAATACTCTCTCTTGGATTTTTCTTGTATGCACATCGCACACATGTCCACAAATATATATTTGAGGCATGTTTCCAAGGGGACTTTCCTTTCCTACACGTCATAATTTCCTCTCTAGTGCTTGAAGGCCATTACATTATGCAGAATCCATAACAAATAAATTCTAATGACAATAATGTGTGAAAACGTTAAGTAGGGTATGGGAAAACATTCTACTTTTCCTTAATTTGTTGCCATTATTGTGATTGGGAGGAAGACCAGTGCGTTTCAGGGGAATAATTTAGCTGTAACTTGTAAAGAATCAAAATGAATTAACAAAATATTCAAACGAAATTTGGATTAAGAGATTTCTGGAACTCAGAGCCTTTTCTTGGCTTCCTTTTGGGTTTGGGAAGATTTCCGAACACAAATTTGATTATAATTTCTGCTGCCACCTTCTGGCAACTGGGTCTAACAATGATCTTGTAATTACGAAACGTAGCGTCTAAGAAGCAATCTATTATCGAGACATTTTCAGTCGTACCTCTGGCCAAATGACATTTAAACTGCCAACACAAGAAGAAACTCAAGTCGAGTCGAGTTGGAATCTACTTTGCATATTTATGCCAAGCGCAGAAGTATGCTGTAACTTTTGTATGTGTCTTTTGCTTGTGCAAAAGTTTCAAATAATGCACAAAAAGAATAACATTTGAGCAAAGGAAAAGCTGAAGATGAAATTGAAACTGAAGCTTAAGACGCTCCTGAATGTTGGATGCTGTTGCTGATGGTGATGATGGCCTGGCTGAAATGGTTCACTTAGCGTAATTAACTTGGCAACTTGGCTGATGAAGTCAGCGCCAAAGGGAAGCAGCGTCATTAGCAGTCGAGGAGAGCTTAACATCATTAATATTTGAAACTGCCACTGCCACTGGCTCTTGCACTGCCACACACAGAGAGGACAGAGGACAATCCGTTTCAACTTTTTTTTTTACGCTTTTTGCACAGTTTTAATTACGAGCAGTAAAAAATAAGTGAGTTCTTTTCAATCTTTGTGCCCAGACGGCGACGACAGCAGTTGAGTGCCCGACTGTTGGCCAGTGACCACAAAACCACTTGAATGCCGCTCCTGGCTAGTCGCAGTCGCAGTGGCTAATTATGTGCAGGAGACCATTATCCCTATGTACCAAGTACATTGTGCAATATTCCCATAGTAACCGCCTGCGCACAGAAAACACAGAGAAACTTCAACGCTGCTCTTTGCTTTTGGTGCTCTGTTGGTGCGTGTTTGTAGTTCATTTCGTGGCGTTCATAAAAATGCCGAGCTGTTGCCACCTTTCGATACGCCTCCATGCTTTTATTGTATGCAAGCGAAGCTGGCTCTCTACATCTGTAGAGATTCATGTCATTTTGGTTTGCTTTAAAGCTTAAGTTTGGTCCAACTTTCATCAGAAACGGCAGCAGGCAGGCAGCGACATCAGCCCTGAAAGTATGCAACGAAATGTGGGCTTGCTCTTGCCGAAAACTCATTTACTCGGAACAGAAATACACTGAGAGAAACCAGGAGATATTTTGAAATATCTGTGACAGTTTTGGGTTTGTTAAAACCATCAAACCACAGATTTAAACACGGGAATGCCAATAGCAATGCTTAATTTTGAGCACAAATCTCTTTCTTTTCTCTCTGTGTACGCACACACGCACACACGCACGTTGACAAGGGGAACGGCGTGCTCACGCGTAATAAATGTATTACGTGCCTGCCTGTAGTAGTGTGTCCCACACTCAAGCCCTGTCCCACCACCCACACTCAATCTGGGCTTATTTAAACAGGGAAAAAGCCCCTGGCAACAACAGCCTTCTGCCCCATCAGCCCCTCAGAGCATGTTACGTTTGGTTACGCTTGTTGAACAGGTGCCGATTACAAGTGCCAATTTGGCTGTGTTCTGTGTTCTGTGCCTGCGAGTTAATTGAAAACTTTTTAATTGTTTAGGCACGGGGCAACATTTTGAAATAAACTTGGCTTAGTGGCGCTTCGGGCTCTGCAACTGATTTATGGCCATGTCTTTTGGCCAAGGCCTGCCGCTGACAGTTTCAATTAAGGAGCAAAGCACAGGGCCAACGTCTCGGTCTTGGACTGATGCTCTCGCCTTCCTTTAAGTGGTGCCAGAGCGAGAGAGAAACAACCAACGAGGACTGCAAACCCAAACAATGGAACGAGGCAGCCAACCATCCATCCATTGGTTCAAGTCTGAGAGTCCTGTCCTGTGCTGCTGCACTTCGATTGTTTGTTCTTGGCACTCTCCTGGCCCTGTCGCTGACTAACAACTGTAATTTAATGTGGCCAGGAGTTGCACTGAGAGAAAACTATTAGACTTGGACAAACAGAGAAAAGTTCCCTCAAACTTTGGGCAATTGCCTTTTGCATTCCAAAAACTGTTACCTAATAACCGAACCCCTTTTTGCTGCAGTGCATGGCATTGCATGTACATCCCTGGAGACTACAATATAGAAAACCAACCACATGCACGGCCCAATCATTCCCAATAGCCATCTGCACTCTCAGCCATCGACTTTCCACGCCCCGGTCTTCACACTTGGTTGACGTTGTGGCTTTCAGTTGTGTCATTGATTGGTTTACCCAGCATTCTGTTTGTTTGCATTGGCTTCGATCGAGAGCCACGTCCCAGGATTTGTGGTTTTTCTATGTGCCTCTCCTGCCACACGGCCACACGGCAACTTCTGCCAACAATTGTATGCGATTGACCGCATAGACAGCTGCTGTTGCCGCAGCCCTGCCAGGAGGCTAACCAACATTTCCCTTCAATTGTTGCATGCTGCATCAATCAATCAATTATGCAACCGAACCTCGTCCATTGTGATTGCATAAGCACGAACTATTTCAGGCAGAGAACCAAAAGTAATTTCAATTCGAGCTTCTCGTTGCTTTTAATTGTTTCAATATACATACGCGAGTGAGTCCAATGTGAGTCCTGTCCTGGAATGAGTTCTTGAATGCACTTTAATTTGGATTCCATTTGTGCATCCATCCATCCATCCAGCCATCCATCCAGCCACCCATCCACACAATGAAAGCAGCTCCAGAGTTCGAGGATGCAGAATGCATCCATTTTGAGGATGGATGTCAGCTGCGATTCTCTCATGCTCCATTTGTCAGCAACAGACAGGAGAACGAACACATCATTTCTGTTGCTCATCTTCTCTTCTCACTGCTAGAGATAGAGAGACACATTCAGAATCAGAGGAAACTCATTTCACTTTGTTCTCCCTTTTTGCTTTGGCATTTTCTGTGAGATTTTGCTGCCCCCTTGGTCTTTCTGTGAGACGTTCCCATTCTCCACATTCGCCCCTCTGTTTTCCTCTCTGTAATGTTACAAAAGATGAGTTGCACTTGAGCATGCTAAAATGCGTTATTAAGTGCATAAATATGCAATGTGTGCAACCTTTGCACTCGCCATCATCAAATCCCCCAGTCAGAGTCCCTGCCCAGTCCCTGCCACCCATATGCCACTGCCACCTGTCTAACAATGGACCCCGCCGCCGCCTCTTCAGGTGAGCCGTCGAGTGGTTGGATGGATGGATGGATGGATGGGTGGCTGGGTTGGGCTGGCTGTGTGGACGGGCTACATGTGAGAAGAGCTTTTGAAATTTAATAAAATGCAAATTCAAATGCAGCAGCAACCAGTCAGCCAGACACCCCACACCACACCATGTGCCACACATGCCACGCCCAATGTTCCCATTGTCAGGCAAAAGCGGGGCCTCTGTACTCCTGCCTCTCCCATCTGTGGAGTGCAACAACTGGAGGACTAGCAACACGCTAATGAGTTGAGTTTTGTCTCCATCTCTTGCCCCCAAAAAACACACACAGAAGCGGAGAAAGGGCCGGGCCGTTCCCTCGTTCGCCATGGGCCCTATGTAGGCTTTATGCAAAGAAGAGAAGCAGAAAGGATGCACTGAAGCGACTGCCCTCAAACAATAAATTGTGGTAATGGTAAATATAAAGAAATACTGTGCGGTTCAGGCCTATAAAACAAGGGCGAAATTCAAATAATGGCTGAGACTTGCATATGAAAAGTGCATTCATGTTTGGTTTAAGAGTAAATAAAGTTTGCAAATCAAATAAAATATAAATAAATTATTTTCTTGATAAATAATGAGCAAACGCTTGAAATTTACCCTGTACTTAAGTAAGAGTAAATGCCATTAAAAAATGACTGTGTGCTCGTGTCTCCCAAATTAGTGGGCACCAATTTCAAGAGCGCTTTTCTGTGTGTTTTGTAAACTTTTTTCAAGTGTTTTGCAATGATATAATACCACCTTAAACCCATACATAATTTACTTCTAAAGGCAGCTAGAATGCCCCTTCCTATCATTTAATCTCATTTCATATTTTGTTTCATTTAAAATGAACGACCCAACACTTTGGCAAACATTATTGATTATATTTATATTCTTGCTGCTCTGTTAACTTTTGACATGGGTTTCGTTTCTTTTGCTCCTTAGAGACTTGATAGACGTAGTTTTCCCCTTTTCAGGCAGCCAGCAAAATCGCTTCGCTTAAAGATAGAATAAATGCTCCAGCACTTTATTTATTTCCGTGAAACGCACTGTAATTTTAATCATTTTTAAATTTGAAAAGGCAGCCAAGGGGCAAAAGCATAACATTACAAACCAGAAAGAGAACAGAGAAGAGAAATAAATGTATAAAAATCGATACAACGTTTTGGGCGGGCATTAAAAAAGGATCAAACGGTAGGAACACGTGTGCGCACAGCCAGAAGGCGAAAGGCACACGGATATATCTATGCTTTCCTATCGTATGCGGTGTATCCTTGCTCATATGTACATATATCCTTGTACACATGTAAGTCACAGAAAAGGAGCCGCCACATGGAGACAGCAAGCAGCTGTAAGGCGCTGCACCGCACACCCATAAAAAAGTTGCCAGTATTCCCATTCCCTTTCCGAATTCGTATTGCCATTGGCATTGGCATTGTCTGGTGGGTCTGGCTCTAGCTTTGGCCCTGGTCTGCCTTTACACGATTTCCTTGGCTTTGACAGGGCCTGGGTAAGGGGAAAGAGAAAGGCGGCGATGAGACCCTTAAGCCACCTTCCCCAAAAGGTTCTCTCAGTCTCTGGCTGTATCTCAGTCTGTTGAGAAGCCCTTTCACACCAACCGTGGACTGTGGGTGTGTATGTGTTTGTGCTCGTGGCACAAGTGGCAAAATGTTGTTACGTGAGCATTAAACCATATTTTAAGTTATTAAGTTATTGACAAAAGCTCACGTCACCCCTTATGTCGGGGCTTGGCTCGGACTGGGCTTGGGTAAGGGTTGGGTTGGATTGGGTTGGGTTGGGTTGGAGAACACTTGTGCGCTGCTTATCCCTTATGGCTTACAATGCCACGCCTAGACGCGCACACAGACACACACTGCCAGTATGTCCTGTATAATGCCAGAATTATATGTCTGAAGGATAAAAACTTTTTGTGTAATACGAGGAGTACCCCACCGTACTCGGTACTTTTTCAATTTCTGTCCAAGCTGTTGGCTGTTCCGGAACCGCATCTCTTCTGTTGAAATTTCAGCTGTAAATGGGAACATAAATATTGCTGCCAGCTCCCCCCAATGGTGTGTCTGCTGTGGTAAAAGTTTCCATCTCCGTTGCAGTCATTCACTCACATGTCCAGTCCTCTGGCTGGACTACACGCTCCGTCTCTATATGCATTACACTCTGAGCTGGCCTTTGTGTGAGTGTTGAGACTGTGCTGTGACATATTTTACTCTTTCTGTTGCAGGCGCTATGCCGGAATGTCAGGCCACCTCCGGAGTCTAGCTGCAGGTAGCCTTTTTCATCTGCAAAAGACATGAGACAAAGGCAAAAGACCGCTGGACATGCTTGCCGGAAATTGAAATAAAAGTTATTAGATTTCTTTGACAGCCACAGAACTGGCAACAGAGCAGAACATGGAACAGAAAAGAGCTAAAGCCACATCCCAAATATTGGAACTCGTAAATTGTTCTCAACTTTTGAATGCTTAAAGGATTATTTGCTGTGTTCGTTCCTTGCTGCTGTTCTATTTTCATTTACATTTTCCCTCTGCAGTTGTTCGTTTTTTTTTTGGAAACAAAATACAAGGCACATAAATTGCCTTTGCAAAGGACACATTTGGGTCTCTCTCTGTCTTGCTCTTTCTCTGACTTAATGTCCAAGCAAATAAGCACACAGAGAGACACAAACACACACATTCGGTCAGGATGGGTTCGTGGCTCTGGTCTGCTCTGCTGTCGTCAGTTGGTTTTGGTTGCACAGTTTTTCCTTTTGTTTTCCCAATGCCAAATCAACCACCGCCGACGCAGATAATTTGCCAAGGGAGTTCTTTTATGGCCAAAGGCTGGGCTGGGCAGGGCAGGGCAGTGCAGGGCAGGGGTGAGTGTGTCTTAATATGTGTGTGGTTTTCTGGCTCTGAATGTGGGTTGTGGCAAGTCGTTGGTGGGGTCAGGCGGCGCCATGACCTACTTTTGTGTGGCAACTTTTTCAATTTGTTTAGGTCGCCCAGTGAGGCACCAGGAAGGGGGGCACTTTTGCTTGGCTTGGACCAGAAGTTTATTTCATAAAATACAATACAAAGAATGTTGCGACTAAAGTCTACTCATAAAGCTTTCAATGGTTTAACTAATAACTCCCCTGCGCACCTCTCTGCTCCGTTCTACTGCTGCTGCTGCCGCTGCAGGATCAACAGCAGCAGCCACATCAGCGCCCAGCTGCCACGATCGAGCTGCGGCAGTGCCGCATTCGTCTTGTCATCCTCTGTCTGACCGTCGGCACGTGTCCTCGTGAAGTGCATATCCTCGGGTTGCATCTTTCGGTCATCTTCCTCCTCGTCGTCATCGGACATGTGTGACGGTGCAGCGGCAGTGGTGGCCTTGCCCGTCATTATCAGCAGTTGCATGCGTTGCAGTGGTGTCAGTGGCGGCGCATCCGTAGGCCGCTGCCAGTGGGGAGGCGGCAGAAAGGGCTCGTATGTCTCTGGCGCCTCGTGGGCCCTGTAGCCGTAGACAAACATCTGAACGAACAGGGAGACGGTGCTAAAGTCCGTGATGACAGCCTTGAGAGTGCAACTGGAGTAATGGCTGTACTCTGCCACAGGTGGCAAATAGTTGGGATCCGTGTTGCTTCTGTCCGAATAATGCTGAAGCAAAAGAAGAGTTAAACCAGGCAAAGGGAACTCTGGCATTCACTAACCCCAAAGATGACAAACTTCACGTAGGTTATGGAATCGCTGTCGACGTAGTAGAAGACCACCGTGTGGTTGGTTTCCACAGAGGATTCATTAGGGGACGTCTGAAAGGTTTCGTACACCAATTGATCACCTGGGAAGCAAAAAAAGTATTCTAAAGGATCATCTAATTCATGACTAAGTAGCAATCCCTTACCCGGCTGCCTGTGACCAATTTCAATGACCTTATCGATATTATCAAACTCCAAACTGGTGGTAGAGCCTGGGCCCTCCGTATCTGTTTCCATTTCGTCGTCTTCCTCATCGATATCCACCTCCAGGGCATCGCGCTTGATATTATCATAGAGCTCTGTCAGCTCTTTGCTCACCTGCCCGAACTCGCCATCATCCTCATCCTCTTCATAGTCCTCGTAGGGCTGCATCTCACCTTCGAACTGTCGATCGCGATTGATCAGCAGCGATGGATTGACATTCAAAATGGTGTGATTGAAGCCAAATATCAAAATGGTCACATCGAAGGCAGGCGTGGGCAGCGTATCTTCATGGCTCTGTTTGGTGCCCAAAACGCTGATCATGCCCACAACCAGATGATCTGTGTAGCTGAACTTCACCTCTGCGTATATGTTCTGAAATGGAGGAAGGGAGGCAACGAGATCAGACACTCAATCCACTTTGGGTTGGAGTCAATCAGGCATGTCCACATCCATCAGCGACTGCCACAATTTCCGAGATGTTTACACTCGGCTGCGTATATTTCTGTGTATTTTCTTGCGAAAAGCTCACGTCATAATTGACTTAAGAAAATGCATTTAGCACAATTTTCACGATATATATTCTAGAAATAACAAGCGAAATCCTATGTACATTTCTGCCCCTGCCTCTGTCTCATTAGCCACCAAATCTCATTTGACATTTTGGCATTGCCACAAAACTGCCACATTTTTCGACAGTACATTCCTAGCCTTTAATTAGTTAAAGGCATATTTTTTTTCTAGTCGTTAAAATATATGTCTTATAGTGCATTATTATTACTTTCAGTTATCGGGCCACAGATGCCATTATATTTGTATATTAGCTGTTCAAAATCTGTTACGTGGTGCACAGCACACAGCTCATAATCCAATTTGATTTCAGGGCAAAAGAAATAAACAAAATATTGAGTGAGGGGGGGAGGGTGACGACTGGCAGATACCTATCCCATATGAAATTTGTGGAATATTGGATAGGAATATTATAAAGTAAACAGAAATGTGTATGGCATTGATTTAATTTCATTTTAGGAGCAAATCACGAGTATAAGACCCATTTTCATAGGCATAAAGTAAATCCACAAGTAAAAGGCATATATAATATACAAAGTTTCCTTTCTCTATTTCTGCCTGTTACATATTCCTGCACAATCGTAATATACCCCCTGCAACCGCGACAAGTACCAGGTACCGAAGAATAAATGCCAAAAAGATTTAGTAAACAGTGGGCCCAGCGGCGCATATACTGGATATAAATATACCGCACACACATCTACATATTGTTGTCGTCTGCAATGACGAAAAAACGACAATTTTTGTTTCTATTTTGGGCTCTGGGGAATATGCAAACGAACGTAGCACCGAGAGGTCACTTCTATACTGTGTACATTCGCAATTGATATCCGGACTTACTTCCTCTGAGACGATTTCAATGTAGGTGATGGGCTCGGGTATCTCGTAGTTGAAGATCACACGTGGCTGCTCGCTTATGCCCGCAGGACGCGAGTGCTGGACATCCTTGAGGAGCAGCTGATCCCCCTCAATGCGCTGGCCAACGCCAAAGAAACGCTTGGCCTCGCTGCCCCTGAGTAGAGCCTGAGAGGCAAAGATCAGCAGTAGACAAAATACTTTTGCACACATTTTTCCCTTTTTGTTTTGCTATTTAGTTGGTTGATTTTTGGTGGCACATTTCTAGAAACAAACACTCGGGCCCGAGACGATCGAGAGATCTTGCAACGCGTCGCGGCAAACGAACTTTGGCAACTGTGAAATGAGAATGCTGAGTCGAGTGCCGACTGCTGTCCGCTGGGCTGCTATGTGCTCCAAGTGTTGACTGATCCATCGGTCGCTGTTTTCGCTTTCGTTTCCCCACACGGAAAGAGAGAGAGATAGAGAGAGAGAATGTTACAGAGCAGCGTTAGAGGAACATGGAAAATAGTTCTCTTCTCCATTTGGTTTGGGCTTTTTCCTCCCGCTACTCGTGCTGCTGCTGCTGCACTTGACCTGAAATCATGTGGCCATCATTCCAGGCGGGAAACTCTTTGAACTCCTTGTCAACGACCCCTGTCGTATATCGGTCGGAACTCGACTCCCAGGCCCCATCAACCCTTTCGAAATGCGTTTAAAATTGGCCAACGAAAGTCGTAAAAATAGCCTGAAAAATATATATCTATAGAATACGAGTATATATATAAATAACGTGTGTGTCTTGTGCAAAAGAGTTCTTTGACTTTGTCAAAACACGGGGGCTGTTGATTGATCAGAACTGAATTATTCATGGACCCAAAGAATGCTCTGAACTCTACGCGTGAGTTACATTTTTCTCTGGCCTAATTGTGCAAACGTTTGTTATAAATTGTTAATTTATGCCTCTCTAATTCTTTCATGTTTTTGTGGGCTTATATTTAATTTATTAAATGCTCATTTTGCATTATTTGTCCGTTTAGCCGCAGCTTTGGCCATTAGCCACACAGATACTGGGAATGGCTTCTCCTGGTTCTGCTACAGGTTCTAATGCTGCTGGGGTCATGAAGATAACGAGGCGGATGCGAATGCGAATGTGCCACAAGGGGTGGGGTGGCGGGAGGCCATGCATAATGGATTGCAATTATGGTTAATGCGCACAAGTGCGGCAGGGTGTGGCCAAAATGTGCCGCACAAACTGGCCTGGCAGTCAGGTGTTTGGATTAAAAATGATTTTGTGTGCACGGTAGACTGTGGAGTTGTGGGATATATTCGATTTGTGTTGATGATGGAGCCATACAGACCATAGAAGTTCTTGCTCTTATTCCAACAAGGAACACCGAGGGGCGCTGCCGCATGACGTACGACACGTGTAATCGAAACAGTCACATACCTGCTGGAATGCCGTAGATGAATATGCGGAATTCTCTACACGGTACCTTAAAGTCTCATCTCCCTGAAGTTCCTTCCTCGTTTTTAATTAAATGCTGCGTGTGAGAGAGTGTGAGGTGCATTTGAAATGGAGCATGGCAGTGGCAGCAACATCGGCAACATGGCTGCATTTTCGTGTGCCAAATGGCAGAAACATAAATTATGGAAAGCACCAGCCAGTGCTGTTGGTGCTGCATGCCACTGCAACCAGAAACTGCAGCACAATCAGATGCAGACACAGCGACAATCCGATAATAGTTTGTGCTCTGTACCCGTGTACCCTGTGTGGCCATAAATTTAACTATTCCTTTCTGACTGAGCGATTGCACAACATTTGAGTGTTTCCTAAACGAATGTAGGCCGGATGTTGAATGCTGGCGTTGGCAAAACTGTTAACAAGTTTACAAGTAGCCACTTAGACATCAGGCAACAGCAGGCAGCGCACAGCTACAGCCACTAACAAGCCAAAGACATGCCCAAAGTGCGAGGCTGTCAACGCCTTGCCTTCCGAGTCGCCTTCGCGTCGTGTCGCTGGCTCTGACATTGATGGGGGCGACTCCTCCGCCTGCTGCGGATGCCCCTGATGTTTCTTGTGGTTCATGTTTTATTACATAAATGAAATGAAATTATGGCATTTGATGATGGAAAATTGCATTTCCCCCAATGCGAATTTAAACAAATTTGTTAATTTTAAGCACACTCTTGACTTCTGGGCCGCAAATATTCCAAATGACTGGCAGTCTGTGGCATGCTCTCTGCTCCAATTAAAGGCATTTTGAATGCCATAAACGTTTACATTTTAGTTGCATTTTAGTGCATTATTAAAATGCAAAAGTGCAAAAGCAGAAATACACAAAAATACACTCGCTCGCTCGTGTATCCGTCCATTGCATTCCAAAATGTTTCAAGTGTCTCAAGAGCACGAATCGATCGGAATTCGAATGCGAATGCATTCCGTCAGCATCCGTGTGGCGCTGCTGCCGCTCAAGTGGTTCAATGAAAGGTTAACAACACTCTACAAAGAAACGTTGAATGGCTTTTCATAATTGCTATCCAATGGGTTGGTTCGTATTGATGGTGGGTAGGGGTAAGAACGTTGGTCATAATGATGGCAATATGAGGCCATTCAACGGCCTGTCGATGCCACTCGGCAATCGGAAATGTGCGCACAAATGGCCCAGCGACCAGCAGAAAGCAGACCAGCAATTATATAATTGAATTTACCATTTGCAGGGACATTGGGCATCGGACATCAGAGCATATGCACATCAATCAATCGGGCTAATAAAGCAATTAACATGCTCAATGGGCGGGTCAGAAATCAATGAAAGGTCCACCTCCCTCTGGGGCCCAATGACCACTGGTCCTGTTCGGCTCGGTCCGGTCGTCCAAAAGCGGAAATTACAATTTTGTGCTGTGATTGCGGGTATTTTAATTTATGCCTCTTGCAAATTGGATTTTGACGCCGCTCCCCAACTCCCACTGCCCAAAAAAAATGCCCATTTGGCTTAGTCGGGGATTAGCCCCGAAAATGCTGAAAGCCACTGAATTTTCATTTAAATTGAAATGTTTTTCGCTCTGTAGGCGCTTATGCCAGTCAAACGCTATAATGTAGGCTACACATTTCTGGCATCAAAACAATCAACAATCAAAGGTTGCATCGGAATCAGGAGCCGCGGTTGACTGCATCTGCTGCTGCCCCTGCAGATGATAAACAGTCAAAGAGTTTTACCAAAGAAAACCTAACAGCATAGAAAGAGCAGCCGCAAAAGGGAAGGGGAAAGCTCACAGAAAGTTATAGAATGAAAACTCGACTCGACTGCTGTTCTGATGCTTGCTTGGGGGAGCAAACTTTTGAAATGATGATTGAGGTATGCCTTAATTGGATTGTTTGCCAGGATTGTTTTGCACCTTAATTGCATTGAGCAGAAGACGGGGATTTTCAATGCAGAATAGTCAGTCAGTCAGTTCTTCAAAAGTGAACAAAATAGAACAGATGTGTAATTAAGATTTGAATGACTTGCTTTCAAATTGAAATGCTAGAGAAAGCCTGAGGTTGATATTGAATGGCTGATGTTCAGGAAATTGGAAATTGAAAAGTTAGCAAGAGCTTAAGGAATTTTTCCAATATACGAATGCATAAAGATCACATTTCTTACATTTCCCTTGGAAACATGTGTACATACATATGTGTGTACATATTAACATACTATGCGCATATACATATATACATGAACTACTCTTATGACTAAGTATGACTATTTTTCGTCTGTTTTTTCCTTCTCTTATTGTTGCTATTGTCAACCGCAAGCTACAGGGCGCTCTCTCACTCAGTACACTACACACCGAAATGTGTCTCTTATGGTTGTTGTGGTCAGACAGACATGTTCGATCATGTTGAACCGCAAGCAAGAACCGCAGGTACAAAACCGCAAGCTCGAAACCGCAAGCTGCAGTGCTCTCTCTCACTCACTACACCACACACCGAAATGTGTCTCTTATGGTTGTTGTTGCGGTGATGCAGGCGTGTTCGATCATGTTCAAACGAACGCAAGACAGAAAGAACCCATAAAGAGCAGGTAGAAAAGCTGTTCAGATCGGTGGGAGAAATAAGAGCTCGGGGTAAGCTAGGTTTTTTTTGGCAGTTTTTTCACTTTGAGTTCTCTGCTGTATAGTTTTGATTATATGTATGCAAAAATGTATATATGTATACTATTTACATATGTATTTACATAAATACATACATAAGTAGCAGTTCTGACTTCGCATATCGCGCACACCCAATTCTACTACAATTTACATGGTACTTCATACTGTTTGAGTAAAAACCGCCTGTCCTGCGGCTGTAAAAGGGCCAAAGCCTGGCTATTTGGAATAGAAGAAGGCAGCAGCGACAGAGAGAGAGAGCTGAGAAGTGCAAAGTAGATGCAGTCACAAAAGTGGAGCATATTTACCCTGCCAACGGCAAACGGCAATGGCACAAACTGTCGATTGTGGAAATGTGTGTGAATGGGGGTGGCCAGCGCCAGCGGCGATGGTAAATCCATTTGAGAAGCAGGCTCCAGCGAGAGCACTTGACTTGCAATTGGCGCCTGCTTAAAAACATCTGCCAACAGTTGCGGACATGCTGTTCTCATCGCCTTTGTTGGCTCTTTTCTTTGTCTCCAGGATGAGGGCTGGAAGTTGAATCGCACCAACTACTACCAGGAAGGATGGCTGGCCACGGGCAATGTGCGCGGCATTGTGGGCGTAACATTTACCACCTCCCATTGCCGCAAAAACATGGACTATCCGCTGCGGACCAACTACAATCTGCGCGGCCATCGATCGGATGTAAGTGGAGCATCCGGTATCCGGAGCATCTATCAATTCTCAGCTAACCCTTTCTTTGGCAGGTCATTCTGGTCAAGTGGAATGAACCGTACCAGAAGTTGGCCTCCTGCGACAGCTCAGGCATCATCTTTGTGTGGATCAAGTACGAGGGCCGCTGGTCCATTGAGCTGATCAACGATCGGAACACCCCAGTCACACATTTCTCTTGGTCGCACGATGGACGAATGGCCCTCATTTGCTACCAGGATGGCTTCGTGCTGGTGGGCTCGGTGGCTGGACAGCGCTACTGGTCATCCATGCTGAACCTCGAGTCAACCATTACCTGCGGCATTTGGACGCCCGACGATCAGCAGGTGTATTTCGGCACAACCCAGGGCCAAGTGATTGTAATGGATGTGCATGGAGCGATGGTGTCACAGGTGCAGCTCTCCAACGATGTGCCCATCACCTCGATGGCCTGGTCCTGCGAGAAGTTCAAAATGGAAGAGGGCGAAGAAGCGGAGCCCGGCGTTACCAATGCGGGTAAGTGAGGGAGAATCTTCTCTATCTCCGGATGATTCCTAATAATTGTTTTCTCTTTGATTTTCGGTTAGCCAAACGTTCGTTTGTGCTGGCTGTTAGCTTTCAGAATGGATATATTTATCTGTTGAAGTCGTTTGACGACGTCTCACCCGCACATATCAACACTTGCCTCAACGGCACCCTCGGCATGGTCATGGAGTGGAGCAATTCCCGCGAGCTGCTCGCCGTGGCAGGTACCCTGCGCACCGGCATGGATGGTCATCATGGCCTGAAGCCATCGGAGGAGCTTACCACACCCACCAGCTACACGAATCTGGTCAAGTTCTATACGGAAACGGGAACGTGTCTGTATCAGGCGCATATACCCTGCAGCAGTGCCCCGGTGTCGGCCATTACGTGGGGTCACAACGACAAGCGTCTGTTTATTGCCACCGGAACGCAGGTGCACATTGCCTGGGTGTCGCGCCGGGTGGCATCGCTGCAGTTGCTCTGCCGGCTGGAGATACAGGCGAGTGTCGGCTCCGAGACGCTGCTGCCACTGCTGCCGCTGCCTTCTAGGATTAAGTCTCTCATTGGCAATCTGTTTGCTCAAACGATACGAGTGAGTGAGGGATTTATTGGCAATTGTTTCAGTGATTTATGATGCTGCTTTATTGCAGTGCTGTGTACCTGATCTGAAGTCGCTGCGTGACTTTGTGTCGCGACCACCGCTCTGCTCTACGCGGCTGCACTGCACCATGATTCGGCATGACGATGACTCAAATCTGAGCTCGGGCACCTGCTATACGCTCTACCTGGAGTATTTGGGGGGCTTGGTGCCGCTGCTCAAGGGTAAACGCACCTCAAAGATACGCCCGGAGTTTGTGATTTTCGATCCACAAGTGAATGGTAAGTGGAAGTGCGCCTCTCTGCCTCAGTATTAATTGTATTTTCTCTTCTGTTAGATGCTCCTTTGTACTTTCAATATTCCGCGGAGGCCAAGAGCTCCTCGAGCTCCGGTCAGTCCACCACAACGGGCAACAGCGGACGCACCGACTCCTCGGACAGTGACTATGAAGAGCGCTCCTCTCGCTTTGGTTCGCCTAGGACGCCGCGCAAGAAACGAGTGCGTCCCAAGCGACGAAACCAGGCGGGCGAGCGTGTGGGCGCAGCAGGAGGAACAGCCGGAGCTGGAGGCAATGATCCCGACAGCCTGGATGAGCTGGCCTACGTCGATACACTGCCAGAGGTAAGGGGCATCCAATGTGGTCGAGGCACATGCAATCACTGATCAATCTCTCTCTTAAGCAGGAAGTCAAGCTGGTGGAGGTGACCTCCAACATTTGGGGAACGAAATTCAAGATCCATGGCCTTGCCAAAACCGTCCCAGCCAATTTAGGCCAAGTTACATATAAGACGTCCCTACTGCATTTGCAGCCGCGTCAAATGACGCTGGTGATCACCGAGCTGCGCGACGATTTTCCACCTGGTCCCGACCCCAGCTTTAATCCCAACATCTTCTCCGAGGACGAAGACGAGCAGCAGCAGCATCAACAGCAGCAACTGCAGCACCACCACGACGCAGTGCCCCAGGTGAATGTAACCACGCCCCAGGATGTGGCCAACCTGAAGCCGCCGATGATGCCACAGCGACGATTGTTGGACGGAGCCTCCGCCCCACTGATTGCACCCATGTCGCCACGTCCCAATCGAATACTGGCGCGGCACAAGAACTCCCTGACCGTGAACGGTGGAGGATCAGGCGGGGAACGAGGCTCAAATGCAGGCATCAGTCCATTGGCGCGTGCCGAGAGCTACGATGATGATTCCTCCAATGACTCACAGGAAGCGGGTTCAGCCGCTGCCGCCGCAGCTGCATGCCAGTCCACCACTGTGCTGCTGCACCAGGCACCCTCCTCCAATGGCTGCAGTAGTTCGTCCGGCCCCAGCAGCAGCAACGGCAGCGGCAAGAACCTCACACGTCCAAAGACCATTAGCAGCTTCAAGAACAGCTACAGCCGCTCCAGCTCCAACTCGAGCTGCCAGTCGCGGCACGCCATCTCGCCGCTCTACTGCGATGGCGCTGTGCCCACGCTGCAATCACCCAAGAATGCGGTGGCTCCGTCGGACATTATTTTCGAGAGGCCCGCAGTGCCGGCCGCGGGTCAGACCACACTGATGTCCTACTCCAGCAATGCGGACTATGCCAACAATGTGGTCCAGGTGAAGAATGCTCTGATGTCGGAGCCCGTGCGCTCAGCAAACAGCCACGTAAACCCTGTGCCCCTTAATCTGAATCTGAATTTGGAGCGCATGGATGCGAGGCAGGTCAAGTGCATGGCGCCAGCTGCATCCACATCGAAGCGACGTGATATGCTGTACATCGACGAGGAAACCCAGTCCCCCACACCCACCACGAGCAGCAGCAGCATGAAGAGGACACCGACGGTGGTCTCCATAGCGCCCGCTCTGCCCGACTCCATCACGCGCAGCTGCAGCGTCGGATATTTGGACTCTGTGGCCATCACGCCCTCCGATGAGGCGTTGTCCGCCTTGCGCAAGGAGGCGCCCAATAAACGTCTGGTGCTGGTGGACAAGCGTAGGAATCGCCGAAAGCGACAGCAGCAGGAGGATGCGCGACGCCACAAACTCCAGCAAACGGGCAAATCCAAGAGCTTGGACTCGTGTGATCTGCTGTCGTTGCAAACGAAATTGTCAAGCAAGGAGCACGAGTTGGTGGTGAAGAAACTGCAGGAGATCTCCGACAGCAGTGCCTGCAGCAGTGCAGCCAACACGCTCTGCTTCAAGTGCCGCAACAACATGAACCCCAGCAGTGCCTGCAAACGGTGCCAGCCCACATCCAACTCTGTGCTCGACGAGATCACGGCTGTGGTCAGCGTGGAGCCCGACAAGGAGGCACCACCTGCCGCCGTCACACAGCCAAAGCCCGCGACCAAGAAACGCTTCGATGTCATTACCAGTTTTACGGACTCTCCGCTCTTCACGCGAAAGCATCGCTTTGGCTACGGGCGCAGTAAGGATGGTGCTGGCACTGAGAACTCCACCCCGGTGCTGGGACGCAAGCAGGATAACACTTTCAGTTTTGTCAAGCAGCTGTCCGAGGTGCGCTGGCGTCGCAAGGAGCCACCACCGCAGGGACAGGTGAATGGAAACAGCAATGCCAGCACCTTGGAGAGGCAGCAGCAGCAGCCCGAAGCAACTGGAGCCGCCGCCTGTGGTGCTGTCGAGGCCACGCCCGTGGAAGCCAAGGCGTCTGTGTCGCTACACACACAGGTAAGAGGTTTATTCCATTTTTAAGTTTCTTCCTTTTATAAAATAACATCCTCTCCCAGGCTCTTACAACATTGGAGAACATCATCAGCCGTTTGCGGGATCTGGATGAGGGTCGTCTGACGCCTCCGTCAACGCCGCAGCGTCTGCCACGAAGCTCACCTGCCTCGCCGGCAGCCAGCAAGAAGAACAAGCGCCAGCAGAGTAGCTCCCCAATACGCCACATTCTCAACTCGCCGCTGCTGAATCGACGGCAGCGCAAGAAGCCGAGCATCATCGAGAGCTCGGACGATGAGGGAAACCAGACTAATGGCTCTGGCACAGAGGAGAGCAACAATGGTGGCGGCAATGGCAAGCAGTATCGCGATCTGGAGACATTCCAAAAAGCACAGCTGCGTCAGAAGGTGAGATCAAGAGTCCCCCATCCCAATCAAAATCAACTCTAAGGGAAGTCCTTTCATCCACAGCTGAAGCGTGGCAAGATCGAGCCGAATGGCAGTGCCAGTTGTGCGAATCCGGCGCCAGTGCGTCGGGAATTTGTGATGCACAACAAGGCGCCCATGTGGAACGAGATGAGTCAAGTCTATCAGCTGGACTTCGGTGGTCGCGTTACTCAGGAGTCGGCCAAGAATTTCCAAATTGAATTTCGTGGCAAACAGGTAAGCAACTTGAAGTTTCTTCAAGTGAACGTTGACTAATTCCACCTCTAATCACACCATTTAGGTCATGCAATTTGGTCGTATTGATGGAAATGCTTATACCCTGGATTTCCAGTATCCCTTTTCCGCCCTACAAGCCTTTGCCGTGGCACTGGCTAATGTAACACAGCGACTAAAGTAATTTCCGTGGTCTACTAGTGAAATGTGTGTATGTGTACATCGTCGCAACGTATCGTATCCGTAAACGTAACCGTATCCGTATCCTTATTGTGCATTGCATTGCGCTCTACAGAATGTCGCCAGCTGATTGCAGCAGTTGCTTTTTTGGCCTATGCTATACATATATTTTTATACCAAATGGCAGACGACAGACGATGACCGGACGACCGACCGAACTATTAGCGAAAATTGCTTTCTGATTTTGTATATAATGTATTTATATGATTGTGTGTGGGGTATTTAGGTTTCTGAAATGATGCCGTGTATTTTAGTGACAGTAATGAACAACACGTACCACCACCACCACCACTTGATTGAAGGTTTTGCCAAATGCAAAAACATAAAACATAAAGCATATGTATACATAATGGGTGTGCAAACTCCACAGTCCGATCCATTTTTGTGCAATATTTGTATGACAAATTTTTTGGATTAAGCGTAGCCGGGAGCAGGTGTAAATGTTTAGCCATAAACAATGTAATATTTTTAAAATCTAACAAGAACAAGAGTCGTTTTTTAACACTAGTTTGTATGTACAAGAGCAGCCTTTTTTGCATAGAGCTTCGTTTCTTGCTTTACTCGATTTAAGTGCAATAACAATTCCTTTCGTTAACACTCTCCTCCTCTTAGACATAAGAAATATTTGAACTTGAAAACAAACCAAAAACGATTACTTAGCATATTTTTTATATGTGTAAACACAAATTGTGAAGTGGAATGTTGGAATGGAAGTGAAATGGAAATCTCTGTGCTTTTTCCTCTTACTCTTTTTGGTAGTTAGGCTTAAATTCAATGAAAAATTCGTTATTGTAATTGTTGTGAATATTGGAAATAAGCACTTGGGGGCAGTCAGTCGTAAACTGATTTAGGCGATCAACTACATACATTACATACAAAAACATCATTTAATAAATGTATTTTACGTGAATAAAGGCTTTCGTTTTATATAAATAACAACATACTTGTATATAATGTAACTATAAAATATCGTTAACACAACCAACCTAATATTGCACCATGAAATGTTTCCAAAATATCCTACAGATTCTATCACGTCTTTTTAAATTGCTTCTCCAATTCGATTTCGGTCTTCTCCCAATCTGGAATGGACTTCTCCTTGATATGCCATGAGTCGGTCTTGGGTCCCTTTTCCTCAGCTAGAAAATATATAGAAAAATAATATTATATAGTTCAATCTCCGATCAACAATCACTACTCACAGCTCTTGAATCGCCTCACGCCCTCCTGCATATCCGTGACCATGTCTGATGTCACGTTCATGACTTCGTTGTAAGTGCCCGCATAAAAACCGGGACGATTGTAGGCATTTGCATTCTCCAGCACAGCGTTCCGATCGTGCATCAACGAACCCATGGGAAATTTGGCAATCGAAAATGCTAAATTAACAGCCTGGCCAAGTGCTGTGCCCGTGGCCACGATGCGATTTGCCAGCCCGATGCGCAGCGCTTCTCGGGCATAGACACGTCTGCCCGTCTCTATGATATCCATAGCATTCGAGTAGCCAACTGCAGCGGCCAGACGGACGGTGCCACCGTCGCTGATGGGAACGCCCAGACGGCGATTGAAGAAACCCAGAACAGCTGTGTCTTCCATTACGCGCAGGTCACACAGTAGGGCCAGCTCCAGGCCACTGGCCACACAGAAACCACTAATGCCACATACAATGGGTTTGCGTGGATGCCGCCGTGTGGGACCCACAGAACCCTCATGACGCAACAGAAAGTTCAGGCTGCCCCGATCCGCCTCCGCTTCGAGTTCCTCCAGATCATAGCCGGCACAGAAGGAGCCCCCAATGCCGTACAACACACCTACGGGAGAGCTATCGTCCGCCTCAAACTGACTGATGGCCTCGCCCAATTTTTGTGCGGTGGCTGCATCGATGGAGTTTCGCTTCTGCTCCCGATTCAGACCGATCAATGTTATGTGCGAATCCTTCTCCACGAGCACCGTGGGAGCTTCCGCAGCGTCTTTGATTTCTTCAACATGCCTAGCAGCGGTTAAACAAAAGCTCCTTCTGCCTGAATTTGAATGGTTTACGCGTTGGAATAGTTTATAAACAAATTTATTCATTGCACCGCGAAAACAACTGTGCAGTGTTGGGCAACGTTGAAATCGGCATTTTCGGTGCTCCGACCTGCAGCACTGCTTGTCATTTCAGCGACGCTGCTGTCAAAAAGGGTGTGTGTGTGCGTGTGTGTGTGTGTTTGTGTGGAAACAAAAAAAGAGCAAAAAGAAATACATTTCGGAACGCTGCGCTGCCAATTAAACAGATATTTACAATTAAAAACATTTACAATTCGTGTGGAGAGTAATCTTTAAACTGCGGCGCGTGTGCCAGCGCATTGCATTTGTGGAGCACATAAAAACCTTCAGTGATATAAGCAAAGTACAAAACAGTCGCCGCTTCCTCTTGGACTACTCGACTACTTCTCGGTGAACTCCCGTGTGCAGACAAAGAAAGGATAGGTTAAAACGGTAACAACAATTCCATTTTGCGTGAATATGCAATTACTGCGGGGCAAGGACTGCGATTGCCCTGCCCTGCCCAGAGGGCCACGGTAACAATGGAAGACGGGGCATGGCATGGGCGTCCACAACAAAAGAACGCGCGAGTGTCGGCCAGGGGCGCCCAGCCCTGCGGTTGCATGTGGCGTAATGTCTCACTTGAACTTTAATTGAATTGGCATCCGTATTGTGGTTAAATCATGTCAGACCGGAGGCGCCGTCAGACAGTCGAGCCCGCCGCCCACTCTCTCTGCATTATTAGATCTTAATTGTGTCTATTTTTATCAGTGCGCGTCTGCCGGTGCGGTGGCTTCCGCGTCACCGCAACATTTGGGCGCACTCGTCTGTCGACACGCCTCCCCCACGCACTCCACCCATGCATCATTGGAGGCCTCCAGAGCCCGAGGGCCCTGGCTCTATGGCGCAGAGCAGAGCAAAACTCGAGCAACTGTTGCCATTTGCTGTGCTTTGCTCTGGTTGTGTGTTTGACTCGCTGTTCCCATTATTTTCTATGAGTGCCGCAGTCGAGTGTCGCATCATGATCTATTTTCGTAAATTTTATTTGCAAAAACAAGAGTCTCCTCCGAGCAGAAATGAGACTTTCGTTTTATTATGCCGCTGCCGCTGCCACTGTGCCTGTGTTTGTTGTTCTGGCACTGGGACACACCTTTCGAACACCGCCCAGCCTTTTGATCACACTGAGATATACGAGTGTATGCCAGGCTGGCCAGGTTGGCCTGTTAGTCGCGGGTGCAGCAATTCGGGCTCGGTCTGTGGACCCTAAAGGCAATTAAAGTATGTATTCAGAAATATGTTGCGGTCAGACAGTGCCACAACAGAGTTTATTGCCTCAAGTAGAACTTAATTAATTGAATTAAGCGCGCACGCATTCATTGGAAAGACATTCTCACATACGAGTGCACACTCCACTCACATCCATTCATCTATCTTTCGTTTTCTTACTCTTTTTTGCCGGTGGCACAGCACACATAGTCACGACTCACGATGTCAACCGGAAGGCCCATAAAATGTGTTGTCGTCGGTGACGGCACCGTCGGAAAGACCTGCATGCTAATCTCCTACACAACAGACAGTTTTCCCGGTGAATATGTGCCTACAGTGTGAGTATCCGATACTTCTTCCGGTTCTTGCTGATTGCAGATTATTTACTAACTAACGCTGATGGCCATTCTTCTACTTGCAAATAGCTTCGACAATTACTCCGCACCCATGCAAGTGGACACAATACAGGTCTCGCTGGGACTGTGGGATACAGCGGGGCAGGAGGACTACGACCGCCTGCGTCCACTCTCCTACCCACAGACAGATGTTTTCCTGATATGCTACAGCGTGGCGAGTCCCTCGTCATTCGAAAATGTCACCTCGAAGTGGTATCCGGAGATAAAACACCACTGCCCCGACGCACCCATCATTCTAGTTGGTAAGTTGCCAGCTCATGGCGCTCAAGAGCGTATTGTACACATGTTTATGTGGCGTATTGTATTGCAGGCACTAAAATCGATTTGCGGGAGGATCGCGAGACGTTGAGTGGATTGGCCGAACAGGGTCTGACGCCACTAAAGCGCGAGCAAGGTCAGAAATTGGCGAATAAAATACGCGCTGTGAAATATATGGAGTGCTCCGCCTTGACGCAGCGCGGCCTTAAGCAAGTAAGTCATCAGCGGGGCGGCGCACACACGAGCACATGATCTCACTTATCGTCTCTTTCCCCCCGCTATGCATTTTAGGTTTTCGAAGAAGCGGTGCGCGCCGTACTCAGACCAGAGCCATTAAAGCGACGCCAGCGAAAGTGTCTAGTTATGTAAATAAGGTAGCATGTTATTTGCGTTGTAACGGCCTCAAACAAAGAGAGAGCGAGAATTCTCGGAAGCAGCAGCACATACAACACACACATACAGACAGAAAGCACACCTTTTGAGCGCCCTCATCTACCTTAAGCATGAACACGAATCAAAAACAGATAACTCCATTCATTGAGCACTACAACAGAGCCACAAACACATTTTGTATAAGTTAAAAATTGTTCGAATTGTATTATTGTGTAAATTGCAACACAACACACCACATGACTCCCTCCCGCAAAACAGAAGCAGCAGAAACAAAAAAACAGAAAATAATGTATCTAAATCAGCTATAGAAATCTAGTCAATTGAATCGAATGTATTTGTACTAATTGTAACAGGCAGCGCACGAGAAAATTATAATGAAGCAAAGCACTGGTTTCGTTTCGTTTCGCATATCATGAGCATCAATGCATCTCATTTCCTAGTTTCCCCCATTAAATGTATTATAATTATCTAGCCAAGAGTTAAAGCATAAAAACCTCTCCCAAAAAAAGAAAACTAAAGCCAAGGCTAATCACCCCGTGAGCTCTTAGATAAAAGCATCCTTTATACGATATTTAAGCATATGCAAGAATTTTTTTACTCTAACTCGAATCGTAATCATAATCACACCTCCACTCATTTGACGCTCATTTGACACTCTGTCGCTTGAAAATTGTAACCAACTGTTGTTTTAAATTATTGTCTTTATAATTACTTATTTATTATCCTAACTATAAAGAAGAAGGCGATGTATAAACATCTTTTACGGCGTAAGGATAGCAAAATGGTTTATGTAAATGGAATGGCAAAACTGCATTTAAATGTGACGACGTGACTCGAATAAAACAGAGGAACAAAAGAATCAAAACAATCGAAATAGATCGAATAAACAAAAGCACACAATTCTCATAACAAAAAACTGAAACAAAGAACACACAAAGATGCGTAATGATGAGATGAAATCCCAGGAAAATTTGTGTACGAAATATATATAGATATATATAAATACTATATTTAAAATCTAACGAATCGAATGTCTTATGTAAATGAATTATGAACGAAGGGCTACAGTTGTTGGCTCCAGCCGTAAAACTGATTTAATACTTACGAGAAATATATACTGTAATTATTTAATGAAACAACTCGCTGTGGCTCTCTTTTGTGCTTAACTTTGCCTCTCAGTTTATCGTTTATTTTGTTTGTAAATGCCACGGTTCGTTTTGTAGTAAGTAAGTAGTAACTCGGTCTAAACAATTAACAGTTTGTATTTTATAGAAGTGCGTGCCTCGATACTCGTATCAACGTGTGCACAAATCTCGGGAGTGGAGTGCTTCGATGTGTTGTGTTGTCTCGTGCAACATGTGTAGGAAGGAGCAGCAGCATCGCATCTGGGAGCTGTCACATGGGAAGTCGTCGATTCAGTATAAGCGGAATGGCTTCGTGTGGACGGCCTGGCCTGGCTTCTTCTTGGGGCCCGCACTCTTGGGACGCTTGGGCTCCGAGTTGAGCGAGGGCATGGACACGGATAGCACCAGGCACTCGGCTGGCAGGGACATGGACGAGGTCAGTGTGGTGGCGCGTTGAATGCGCGGCGCCTTCCAGTACTGTGGGGCGGGAAGGGAGCATAGAATAGGCAACATTTTAATTCGATTCACACACGGATTCACCGCTGAATGGAAAGCTGAATAGTAGTCGAAAGTCAATAGCTGGATTGAGATGAAAACTTACAATTTGTTTTAATCAAATTTATTCAAAAATAGTTTCGATTACCAATGCATCCAATGGGGTAGAGATGTGTGCTCGTGCGTGGCTTTGTTGGAACGCTTGCGTTGCGTCGTGGGCGTGGCATTGCCAAATGTACTTAAGATTCTCCAAATATTTTACGAGTATTGTATGTCTATCTTATATTTGTGGCTGTTGAGATTCAAAAAAACTAAGTGCAACAACGCCAGAATTTTGGTAAATGAAAAAACGTTTTTTTGTCTGTTTTATTAATGTTTAAATTTTGCCATTGATCTTACATTTTGTAACAGGGTGTAAATAAATTGTGAGAATGATGCGCTTTACTAATAAGATACAAATTAATAGTAATAATTATGCTTATAAGTGTTTATTTCGGTTCTGTTCTGTTCGGTTGAAGTTCTGTTCTGCTTTTAGGGTTGGGCTGTTCGCAAAAGTATCTAAATTGCATACAATGGATGAGGGGGATCATAGATAGGTCTTGTATTATACGAGTACGAGTAGTTCAACTGTTCAACGTCAAGTGGGTTTAAAGTTTACTTTTACTTTTAAGTGTCGTTCAACATTTTCAACTAAGCACACAGTTTATGATTTGACTTCTTGTATAATTCGCTTAAATATTTAGATACTTTTATGTATGCATATATAAATGTCTATATATATTTGTATGTATATATATGGGGGTTTTTTCGTAATACATTGAGATATATAATTTATGTCTTGTATCTGTATGATAAAGAGTGCACTGCTCAACTAGTCAAATATACTCTTGAATCTTGAATACCGCTTCTATGTGATGTGGGTATCTCGTGGTGGTGTATCTCAGTGCACATCTGTTGGAACCTAACCATATCATATGATACGGTGGCTCTCTCATTACATGTCTGGTTTTGTGGTGTGTGATGTGGGTGTGGAAATTATTGCATGTTTTGCATGTTTGCATCGTTTCTGCCAATGTGTGCGGGCATTTTGCATTTTGCTTAAGATTTACTTTTTCAAATTAGCGCTTGTTCAATATTCAATGTTCGGTTTGGTTTCATTTGCTTTATGTAGGTATATTTGCAAAGAAAAGATTCAGCTCAACCTCAACATGCATTTTCGGCACTTAGCATTTAGCTTTGTTGATTTAAATTCTCATCAGCGCCAGAAGCCGTCATGGATGGTAGTGGACTCTGCGTTCAAGATATAAAAATATAAATGTGAATGCAGATATAATTGCACAAATCAAAATTGGGGGTGGGGAAACTATTACAAACATAAACCAAAAGCTTTGTTAGATCATGAGTTTTGTTGTTGTTTGGAATGGAGCGTGGAAAGAAAGGGGCGGAGTCGGGGCTGGGCTGGGCTTTGGGCCGAGGCAAGCAAATTTGCACATGAAACCGTTTGCGGGGTGAATGGATGGATGTCAAATCAGATTTGAATCTGTTACTAACGGAACGGTTAGTCTATCACAGCACTGTTAAATATATAGGTATAGGCGCTATCTATCTATGCAACGGACACCACTCAGGATGGAACACGCAACACGCACATTCACTTACGGAGGATGTCTTTTGATCGATGATCGAATGTTGCTAGAGTACGATTACGAGAGAGTGTCTAACTCTTAACCGTAGACGATAAATAACTCTAATGGACGTAACATGTATACGGATTTCGAATTAATGCACTTAGTTTCGTATATGACTAGCCTAATAAAATTGGTATATATATTCCTATAATAAAACGAAAAGAAGAAACATTAAGCCACAGAAATTAAGAAATACACTTAATAATTCATAATTAATTGGAATTCAAACAGGATGTAAATATGTATGTATGTATGCAATGTGTGTGCTTGTATCTGTATTTGTGTGTGTGTGTGTGTGTGTGAGCTAAGCACTTTTGTTGTTGCTAGATGATTTTTAAATGCTGGGCAGCCTTTTCAAAAACCGTCCTCAAGGTCAGAGTCTCTGGGTTACGGGGAATTCTTTGAGCATTTGCGGATCAGTAATTAAGTATTTGTTGTTTAAAATTTGTACTATCCTATATAGTATAAAATTACTGGCCATTACTGCCATAAATAATACTTTTTGTTAAAGGATATACTCTATATATAATACTAAAGGAATTAACAAACATTCCGCCCTCTCAGACCCAGGGGCGGCACCCGAGAGTGGTTGGTTTTCCTTTTGTTTTGGTTAAAATTCAATTTAGTTTGGAACGGATCAGGACTGCCGAGTGTCTGCCCCTGAGAGAGGATCAGCTTATATTATTCATAAGTATACAAATCCCATGGGTATAGTACAGCAGCCTCAAACCGATGGATAAGTGTATAGTTATTGGGTTTAAGTGTACAATTTAAAATAGAAACTCTTGCAAACTCATACGAGATATTCGGTCAGAGCTTTTCTTAGTTGAGAGTTGAACTGAGTTTAGTTTTCCGTTTGAGTCTGTGTTCTTTCTTTTCAGTGTGTGTGTTTTAAGTAGTCCTGCAACAGTTACTGGTATTTGGCCTTAGGTACAGTACAAGTAGTTGATGGATGTCTTATTGTTCGTTTTGGGTTGTTAAAGCTATGTATGCATAGGGGTATCGATTTGATTTGTTCATTTAAAAAGCGACTCGAATATATTGTTACACACACAGTCTGAGTTACAGAGGCCGAATTCTAGATGGATCGTTGCAATCAAGCGCCCTTGCGCCTCAAACTGCGGTTAGGCCGGCGGGTAGGCAGGCAGGGGGTCGCAAAACGGAGAGGGGGGAGAGACAGAGAAAGAAAGAGAAGAGAATAGTTTAGAGAAATGCACGAGAAATGTGGATCGCTTTTTGCTAGCAATTTTGTCATCAATTTGATTCGTTTCGATTCGATTCGATTCGATTCGATCGCCAATGAATCTCAGTTTGAGTTTGAAAGAAATTCATTTTTAAATGTAAACATAAAATAATTGAAATGAAATTGAATAATGAACCCATTGGAAATTAACGAAACTAAATGCAAATTTATACAAAACTCAAAACAGAAGAAAAGCCCACCCATATATCGAGACCTGAAAGTGCCAAGAATTACTTAAAAGTCCAGATAGATGCTAATTTCTCATTAGTTATTGATTATTGATTTGTTTTGTACAATTGCGGAATTGTTTGATCGGTTCTCTGAAAGCGGTTATGGGTGTAGGTGTGGGTAGGTGTTTGGTGGGTGTTTTCGGTTTTTTGGGTGTTTTCTTGGGGTGGGTGCTGTGGGGGTGCTGACAGTAAAACTAAAAGGCGTAAACCACAAATGCAAAATAAAAACAAATTACATAAAAATGAATTTCTTAAAGTTAACACAAAATGGGATATATCCATAGTTTATAGAGTACACTTTTGTTGAGTAACTTTTGTTGTGGTGTGCCGAAAAGACTACAAATTCAATACGAAATAATTCAGGTTAAAGGTTTTTGGTTTAATATTAAAGGTTTAATGGATCTCTCTAAGTCTACGTCTAATTGAATTACTGAACGGCATTATGGGATGTCTTATGTACACGAAGTTTACCTGTGTTGGTGGTGTTGTCAGTGCAGCTGAGTGCTCAACATTTTTCAAATAATCCTTATCATCGAAAATCTTCTTTTCGCCGCCACCGGGCCTGTGCTTTACATTATCCAAAGAGCCAACTTTGCTTTGTGCCTTAATTTCTACCTTTTGCGTTTGTATCTGAAAGGTAGCACCAGCAGCGGCAACGTACACAAGAAATTGATTAGCAAAATTACACTTGAAATTCGATTTGAATTCGATAGCTAAGGGGCGGCGGTAGGTATGTATATGGCGAATTTTGACACTGCGTTTGGATATTATATGACAACACAACACGAATCGTGTTTGGTATGGTAGGCCAATCGAGGACACAACTGAAATTTAGAATTTTCAACACAGAAACAGCAGAGCACAGAGAACGGAAAAAGAGTCACAAAAATATACGCTACAATTTCTACTTCGGGAATATTTTGCGGTGCCTTGAGGATATCAAAATTTGTGAGTGGAGTGTACATCAAAAATACCAAAAAATACCAAAATTATGTAAAAATAATGCAGCTAAACTTGTCATACAAAAGCACACATTTACATATGTACATATACTTATTTCAGATATAATATACAGAGAGAAAAGAGAGTTATCACGACTACTTACTTCCTTGGGGTTGTTATCCTTCAATACGGTTGTTAAATGGTTTAGTTAAAAGCAAAAATTATGTTTTAAATATGTTTTCGGTTCGTTTAAATCAAGGTGTAACAAATAATAAGATACAATTATCAATTTGGAAGTTCTTCAGTTGAATGTTAGAAACTAAACGAAATGCTTTCCCTACCATTCATTTATTTATGGTACAATGCTAACCCAAATCGGAACGGAACTGTTTAATCAATGCGTCTCTAGGCTAGTGGGTGTATTGTATTGTGTGTCTTGTTGTGTTTAGTGTTACCTACCCAAAGCTATGGGAACTACTCCTCCTCCTCATTATACAAATTCTCATCCAGGCGCTCGCTGCTCATGAGGCAGGCGCGTTGGTTGACAATTTTGGAGCCCTCGCCATAGATGATGTTCATCTTTCTATCGTGTGACAATCTGTTCGAGTGGCTCTGGAAAGTGTTTCAGACTTTTGTACATCGTTTTCACGGATATGTTTGTGTGTGTGGCGGGAGAGAGTTTGTTAGTGTACACTGAAACGTTGAAGAACACTTGCAGCATGCTGAATTTTACAACTAAGATAACTTTCCCCATGCATCAATCCCACCATGCCCCATGCCCCATGCCAGTTGCTGTTTGTTTTCTGTTTGCTGTGGATTGGAGGAGCAACTGCATGCCAGACAGAAAAAATCGTAACAAAACGAGAGTCGAAAGAGCATCCAAAAAGAAACGAAGTAAAAGCCAAAACAGCAATCGGAATTTAAAATTAAACGCTACAAAAAACAATTGGAAGAGCAATCGTACTCGCGGGTCTCTGGGTCAAAACTTAAATGTGAAATTGGTAAAAAGATTTAGGAGCAGGAGGACACATACCTTGATATCACCGCCGCCTGGCTGATATTTCACGTTGTCCTTGGAGCCGACCTTCGGCTTGGCCTTGTCCTTGAAGTCCATCTTCAGGGTCTCGATCTTCTTATCGCCGCCGCCGGGCTTATAGGCCGCGTTCTCCAATGAGCCAATTTTCGACTTGGCATTCCACTGCAACTTTGTTGTAACTATCTACGGGTTTGCGGTGGTTTTGGTTTGGTTTGATTTTTGTGGTGTTGCAGTGTGGTTCAAGAGAGGTGGTGATGGTGATGTCGTGGGTGTGTGGGAGGTTCGACGGTTTGCAAGTTTGTAAATAGATACAAGGTAGAACCATTATAAGCCAAAGTCAATTTACACAAAAAGATAGATAAACATCCCAGCCACCAGTCAATGTCAGAGTCACGCCCAGCTCTGGAACACCGAATGCGGATATGGACATATGGTTATGGCTTTATAATGCTACAAAAGGCAACGGAATTATGTTGCTAAGTGTCGCTGTGGATTGGTAATTGCATTTCCTACAACAAGATACAAGATACCGTGCTGCTTGCTGCCGATTCCCATCTAAATGGGATGCGATACATATAGGAATGAATACTCGAGTAAGTTCTCGAATCGCAAGTCGAGCGTGAAATTGAATTTGTTTTTGCCAATACTTTTTACATTTTTACATTTTTACATTTTTACTTTACGTTTTGTTTGGCTAGATCTAGATTTTGGTTTCCGATCGGATACTTTAAAAGCCATTTGTTGATGAGAGAAATTTACAGAGATTTTTCATGAGAATACACATCAGTCACACGGTACAGTAAAGTGAAGTCCCTCCCTGTGGCTCAGCCATTCCCAACATACCTTCTTCTCGCCGCCCTTGGGCATGTACTTGTCGTTCTTGGCCTCGATGCGTGGCGCTGCCTTGATGTCGATCTTCTTGGACTCGATCTTGACATGACCGCCGCCCGGCTTGTAGGTGGCATTGTCCAGTGAACCGATTTTGGAGCGTACCGCCTTCAGGTTCGGCGAAGGCGCATGTCCAACCTGTACCTTGTTCATTGGAACTGCGAGCAGGGATTGGATTATACGAAAAACATTTGATTTTAAAGTTTAATTTGAGTGCTTACCTTTCTTAACTGGCTCGGGTTCTGGGGTCTTGAGCAGCAAACGATTCTTCGAGGCGCTGCGCGACTTCGATGCAGATTTGTTCGAGGGCGTAGCACTCGGTGGACGCGAAATGCCCGACTTGTCAGCCTTCGATGAGGTCGATGTGGGCGTCTTTACCGGGGAACTGGGTGAAATGGGTCCGTTGCGGTCCTAACACAATACAAAACACAGAAACATAGTCACAAAACGGCAAAGATAAGTGATATTTGTTCGTTGTTTACAAGAAAATATTTGGAATCGGCCAAGATGACGAGATGCATCTTGGGATTCACCCGTATGGGCACTCTGACTGGCACTCTGACAACGTTCATCTCTTTTTTATGAACGCCTCTCTCTATGGTGTTGGGAGCACACTGCCAGGCTGGCCAAAGCTGTCAACGTAATGCCATTGGCATTTATGCCTAGACTCTGCCCGCTGCCTGCTGCCTGGTGATGCCGATGCCGATGCCGATGCCATTGTGGATGTGGTTGTCGAAGTCGGTACGAAGGACTTATAGTTTATGCATTGTTTTATCGATTGTCGCCACTTCGTGTCGTATTTTGCATACATATGCCTAGGTATTTATAGAGACAACAAGCTACAGTCCCACCACAACAGATACGGAATACACGTAAATATTTGTGTGTGCTCGCAGGGGCAGGGGCAGGGGCAGGAGCCCCAATCCGCGTTTCGTGTTTGGCACTTATCTACTCTACGGGCACAGATATCACAAGGCTAGGCATTATTTACTCGTAAATCGGTTTTTGTGTTTTCTTTTTTGGCAAAATGTAGACAAGTTTTTCCCTTACTTTTCGTAAAGTTTTGTGCCTCGCACCTGTGTGTGTGTATGCAGCACGGAATACTCGTATATTGTATGACTTTTTCTTTGCGGGTTTTTCCGGCGCGTCGAACTGCCGTCTGCCAAGACAAAACTTAGTCTGAACTTTGGCGTCAACACACACGAGGCAACTTTGCGGATCTTTTGGATCCATCCACTCAACTGTGGCCCCAGCACAAGTCGGGCCATAGTACTATATGATAGCTAATGGAGCGTGGAAGCGGTGACTGACTGACTTGCCTTTTACAGATATTTATGATTTGTGAACGCAGCGAGAGACAGACACACACAAAAAGCGTATACCAGAAAGAGAGGGTCAACGGTATTTAATTAATTTGTCGCCAGTTTTCAGTTAATTTCCTCTCAATTAATGAAGACGCATGGCATAAGCGACTCACATTTATGGCCTGGCCAAATGGTTCTCTAGTTCATCGTTCGGACTCACCTTCTCCTGTGTGGACTCGTCCACGCCGCTGTCATTGTCGCCTTCTGCAATGATAACGAAACAAATTAATTATGCTAATGTCACGATTTTGGGGGGACTTCCGCTGAAATAATAAACTGGCAAATGGCTTCGCTTAATGGTGTTCCCACTAGATCTTACTCAGAGCAGGCCCCTTGCCCTTTCGCACTTCTGCGATTGGTGGTGGACTCGACTCGAAGGGTGGCTCTGTCTCCTCCAGCAGTGGCGAACCCATCGGATCGGCCTTCATGTTGTATGTCTTGAGGGGAGTCACGGCTGGACCCATGATCACGTCATCGTCATCGTCATTGTGTGACCCCATTGATGATGGTGGGCGTAGCTGCTGTGGCGGTGGCTGAGTCTGAATGTGTGGCTGCTGCTGTTGCTGCTGTTGCTGCTGCTGTGGTGGCTGCTGTGGCTGTGGCTGTGGCTGCATCTGTTGCTGTTGCATTGGCTGCTGATTGAAGGTCGGTCGGTATGGCGCCTGCAGCGGCTGGCCCGGTGCCGGACGAGCGAATGTCGGCGGCGGAGGTCGCTGCATATTCTGCGGGGGACGTGCACCGGGCGGCATGCCAGGTGGCGCTCCAGAGGGTGTCCAGGGGAATCCACCTGGTGGCCGTGGCGGTCCTTGTCCGGGCGGAGAGAGCGGTCCGCCGGCATTGGGCGGACGAGGCTGCTGCATACTAAGCTGTGGCGGCATGCCCGGCCTCATCTGCGGCGGACCCATCAGCAGATTGCTCTTACTCTCTGTGTTCCTCAGCGGCGGTGGCATCTGCCTGGCCCCCATATTCGGCGGTGGCATGGGTGGGCGTGGCCCCATACCAACCATGGGTCGAGCACCTGCAAAGGGCGGACGCTGCTGTGGCGGCCCCACAGGCGGACGCATCTGCGGTGGCAAGACATAATTCTGTGGTTTTCGCACGTACTCGGGATTATGCTGGGATGGTGGCTGTGTTGGGTGCTGGGCTAGGGAGTGCTGTGGGGTGCGTTCTTTAGCGGTGCCATAGCTGCTGGGATACTCGGTCATGGGCGGTGGACGCTGCTGCTGCTGCTGGTGCTTCTGCTTGGAGTAGTCAATGTTTGCCTCATAAGCAGCACGATCCTTGGCGTACTGCATGGAAGACTCGTAGCTGGAGGAGTACTCCGCATTCGGCTGCTGCGTGGAGCCTCCACTTTTGGTCGATAATTCTCTCGAGGAGTAGCCATCAATGGCAGCCTCATAGGAGGGACGACGATTGCTGGACGCGGGACCTGACTCGGAGTCACGCTCCCGTGATCTCTCGTTTGCCGTGCCGTACATCTCTTTGAACTTATCGCCTGCGGTGTCGGTGCAGAAATGTGCAAGTGTCGGGTAACCCAATACCTGACAGGGCTCCAGTTTCAACCTGCCAGCAGCAGCAGCACCAAGTGGCTCATATCATTTGCATATGTATGGCCATATATCCTATGTGCTTGATAGGGCTGGAGCGGGTAGAAGCTACAGGATAACAGTACTGAGTGTGCTACATGTGCATAAACTTATTGCGCCGCAGGGGAGGCCAACCCAAACCAACCATCAATATATTCCATATTGAGTGGAAGCTTTCAAATTTGATGGCTTCTTTTTTGCATTTGTTTACATTTTACGAGTATTGTTTTGGTGGGCTCTGTATCCTGGTGCTCAGTTCGGTTGCCAATAGGGAATTTTGTCATGCATTTGTCGGTTGCCAGCTGTAACGTGACCCAAATTGTTTTTGTGACTTATTGATTCAACAAAAGTTTCGGCAGGTTCTAAGCCCCCCAACCGCTCTCTCGACGGGGCAGCCAGACCACGAAAACGAGAGCAAATCGCTGTTTGATTTGTTTCGCAAAGGGTTTCTTTCTCTTGTGGCTCTGACATGTCTGGAAATGATGTATGCAAGGTCATCGATATTTTGCCATAGTAATGGCATCATTAATATCCCAGTTGTATTCAAATTATGCTCCCCGACAGGCAATTCGGTTGTGCAAAAGCAATTGGGTGATATTTCATTTTGCTAGCTGGGGGGGGGGGGGGGCAACTTAAGTGCAGCTTGGACAGGTTTAGTTCTAGATTTGTATTACGACTTTCACTCACCGCATCGGCATCACTCATATCGGGCGGAATGCTCAGGCTGGGACTACGAACTGTGGCTGTGTTCTGGTTCTAGGCACTACCTGGCAATTAACTTTATAAAGAAGCGAAAACAACTTTTTTGGGGATTTCTTTTTTGTTTGTGTTTTGTGTGTTACATTTGACAGGGAAATCGATAAAATTGCACAGACAAAGAGCGTGGCGAGGCTTTTATTATCCCTTTAAATTGCTGACTCTTGGACTGCTCCATGGAGCAGCACGTGCAACACCCGAGTGGCAACTAAAGCGGCAGCTCGAACTTGTGTCGAGTCAGAGCCCAGATTTGCAGCAACTTCCTGGCCATACAATATGCCCAAACAAAAGAAATGAAATGAATGTAAAGAAGGAAGCAAGTCAACTGCAAATTAGGGCCACAATGATTTGTTTCTCTTGGCTGACATCGACATCGACTAGGCTGAAATTCCACACAATGTTCATGTCAACTGCAACAAACGGAACGCCAAGAACTGTCATTTGTGGCCAAATGGTCTTGGCCAAATTGATTATCAGCGGGGGGAATGCCAGTTGCAGTTGCAGTACCATAAAAAACCAAACTTGTGGCGGGGAGCACCCTCGTTTTATTTGAGGTATTCTAAGCATGCTTCCGTCGCCTTTCAATTAGATTCTTTGCCACAAAAAACAAAACATCCTTTATTGTTAACAAACTTTGCCTGCTGGCAATTGAATTTGTTGTTGTTTGCGGAAAGTTGTTCCCTTCCGTTGGGTTCCCACACTGCAGTTGCGATTTTTATCGCAGACAGGACTCGTACTCGTACGCGGACACGGACATGGAGCCATTATCAATTGTTGCAGTGTGCCATAAACCAAGCGCCATGCAATTGTATCGATTTTTCTAGCCAGAGGGCAATAACTTGGCCACGTACTCGCACTCGTACTCGTACCACAGGCCTACTGCAGGGAAGAGGCTAATACACTTTGCACTTTGCGTCAAGTCACCGCAAGGATGGGGACGGAACAGCCAAACGGAACAGCTGCAGCACTTCCAATTCGATTCACACACAACAGCAAAAAGAAACCACACACTGACTTTAACTCACACGTTGATTTGTTAATATTATTATTATTTTTTCCTTATTTTATTTAGATTTATTATTCAGGAATATTCCTTTGGGAAAATATCGCGAGTCGCGGCTAGTCAGCTCTCACTGCGTTGTGTTTGGCGCGAGTGTTAAAACTCGACTGCTTTTATTTGCTTTGAAAAATTTCGAATTACAATACTTAGAATTTGTTTTGATGCCAGCCTAGTATTGGGGGGGCTACTGCAGCCCCACTCAGTCTCTCTCTGTGGGGGGTAGGGTGGAGCTTTGCTCGTAAACTTCTCGGGGCGCATAAACAGAAAGTGTCCTTGCGCAGTTCAAAGAGAAGGCAATACCTTAGCAAAGTCAGCACAAAACTTCAGCCAGGACGACGTGCTCAGACGACGCCTTTGCCTTATTCTATTGACATACAAATTTATTAGTGGGGCGCCGGGGAAAAATGCAAATTCAACACGCCAACAATGAGCAAAGGGGGGAGCACTCCCCTCAGTATTTTCTGTGGGGAAGCTTTGATTTTATATGCAGATTTCATTTGACTTGATTAATTTAATGGTTTCTACGTGGAACAGTGCGCATTTGTGCAGTGCTTAGCTAACGACAATCAAATGCATAAGTATGAAAATACACAAGGATTCACGGTGGGGTAGCTACAGTCATTGCTTGCACCACGCACCATGTAATAATATTTATTATGGGCATTCCGTATTACTCAGGTGTTGTTGTCATAGGTTCCTCGGTTGCCCCTTTAATTGTTGACTATTTAGAAGCAGACAGCACGCAAGATTCCCCTGCGCTCCGTCCTTACCTAATGTCTGCACATAAAAAGTAAACCAGCGACGAGCCAGCAACACACACACTCGTAATCGCACTAGTAGGTGGAGGGGGATAACTGTTCCTCGTTCCGCTCCTGCTTGCTAATTCGATTGTCAAGGTTATGCGCGGGGCAGACCAACCAGAGAAGAGTTTACTTTGGCTAAGGTTAGGTTGTGTACATAAAGGGGGGCAGGGTAGTGGTGTTTGTTATTCACATAGTCTCGTGTCTATGTAGTAGTATCTGTAACTATTTCTGCAGTAACTGCTTTGCGTTAATTAATTTAAATATAGACACAACATACCATTTAGTGAAGCCATTTCAAGTTTAATTGTTAAATATATTCCAGATATCTGCGTACGAGTACATACCTGAGAAAAGATAGATATTTTATATTACTGGTGGTTTGGTGAATACAAAATGTCCCCCCAATTTCTATGTTTGCAAATTGGTTTTCTGATGGCTGACAATCTAACTCTTTTGAATTTCCCGCTTTCCTTAACTAGAGACGACAAAAAGAGCACTGGCAATAATATCGAAATAATTATTGCATGCTGACAAAAGCTGGTCGGTATGAGTGTTGAGCGACTAGTTATCGATAGCTGCGATAGTTAGTGCAGTGCTGTAAATCACGTTTTGTTGGCGTTCAAGGGTTTGAATTTGAATTTCAGAATTGAAGTTAGTTCATGTCACATGTAGCATCAGCGTCCAAATGGAGCGTTTCTCTCAGTTAAGGCTGCTGCGAAATTTACCTGGTTAGTAGATGTAGTCCTACATATGCCTGACTGTACGTTTAAGAGTTCCCCCCTCTCTGCGGACCCTTAAAAGGGTGAAAATCTGTGGCAAAATTGTATAAAGGAACTCGAAAACGCAGAATCATAGAGAATGATCATATATAACAGATTACCGCAACTGCATTAGATCGTATTATAATTTCAGTGAAATTAAAGAATTAAAGAATTAGCCAAAAAGCACACCCCAATTACGCTGCCTTTCCGTTAAAGTTTACTTTAAAGAGAGATAAGACTTCGAGACAGGAGACCAACGGCACGCCAACCAAGGCCGCCGACTGCCCAACATAGGGGTGGCTGGTTGCTTCTTTTGCCACCCCCATTTGATTTGTTTTTGTTTCAGTAGCCGCTGAAGCTCTTTTGGCGTTGTTTTGCTTTTATGTTTTGAGGGATGCAGCCGGTATCCATCGGCATGCCCTCTTTTTGGTTGGCTTCCCCCCACCGTACCGCAGCGGACAATTCTGTGTGCGCCCATTGATTATTCTGTCCAACATTCCGCTGCGACTGCGGGGGAGGAATTCCTCATGTGGTTGCTGAAGCTCAAGCCGAAACCAAAGCCTGCCTCGAACTGCGCATGTTTGAGGCAGACGCGACTATTCCTGGTTCTGCGACGCAAAAGATGAATCAGAACAGAACCCAGAGCACAGCAGAGGTCTGCCCTGGAGTGGCAGGGAAACCCGTAGAATGGAGTCAGAAGCGCAGCTCATCAATTAATCAACACCTGAATTTATTGCTTTATTAACTAGGACCAGGAATAGGACTGGGACACCCAGCCCAGCAGGCGCCTCCATTGCTCCTCGTGTCGAATATGGTTGGGCGAAAATATTTATAGTCTGTTCGATTGGGTAACGTAACGCAACTTGACTTGGCTGTCTAACATTTGTATCTTTGACGCACTTCGATTATTGATTGCTTCCACAAAATGTGGCAATTGTCAGTGTGAGTGCCGCACGCACTCGCAACCCGAAACAGGCATTGCCACCGACGAATATGGCCCGGCTACAACCAGAACAACAAATTATGCGGCGTCTGCCTAAAGCGGCATTAGCCATTAGCCATTGGGATTGGGTTTGGGTTTGGGATTGGGTAAGCAGCTGCAAGACTACCCATCATCTACTTACGGGTTCCATCAGGCGAAAGTGCACAAATGCAATGGCCATAAAATTGAGTAGCAAAATCGAAATCAAAGCAGAAACTGGGCGAGTTTATTGAACTGGAATTGGAAGTGCCAGGGCCCCCGAGGGGATGGCCTAGCTCGAGCCAAGCTGAAGCCATTTGACAACTCTTTTGTGGCTTTAATTAAAGGGCAACACGGACACGGGGATTTGCGTGTCAAGCGACACTTTGTATGGGGCAAAACAGCAAAACAATTAAACAAACACCGTGCCATCAGCAGTGGCAGTCGACGAACGGCAGCACCCACCACGGAGAGGGAGAAAGAGGAGACACCCTGGGGGATCCTTCAGGGTTTCTTATTAATTTTTGCTACACTTTTTATTGATCAAACTTTTCAATTTATAATTAATTAATCGAGCCGAGACCGGGTATGGCGCATTCCTCGCATTAAACTTGGAGATGCATCCATCAGATACCAAATGCACATTAATATGCCACAAGTCCCCCAGGGACTTAATAAATGTTCTTGGAGCGCCACATGCATGCTAATTGTGGAGCGAACCCAGCATAGAGGAAACCTAACCGAAGAGATCTATGGAAAAACCATTCGAGAGTCACTTATTCGTAATAACCAAATATGGCATGAGGCGGGGACCCAAACAATGTCCCAAAATCTTTGTCTTGCTTCATTGGGCTGCACAGCAAAGGCGTGGCCTTTAGCCCAAATATGGCAGCAAACATTTGGGTAATTGTTTATTTCACTTTTACTGTCAAGCACAAAACGGAAACCTTAACAATTAGCAGCGTGCTTGAGGCGCTGCTTCTGGTTCTCGAAAAGTATCTAAAAGTATCTAGCACACGCCCCCAATCCCAATCGGGGCGAGAGAGAGAAGGGAAAATCAATTTCCACGACAAACATTGCAAACGAAACGAGAGTGTCGCTCAGCTGCCTGGCTGCCAACCGCTTCGTGTTAATTGAAAAGCCAAAGAATAGTGCCTGAAGGTGCCTGAAATTGCAGCGAATCTTGGCTATTTATAAAGTCAAGGAGCAGTGGGGACACACAAAGTGCAGCAAATCGCGGCCATTACGTCACTCGATGAGTATTTCATTTGATCTTTGCAATTATGATTACCAAAAGCCACTTTTGGCGAGGGGCAAAGAATATGCACTACAGCGGGAAAGCCATTTCACCTGCTTATCAGTTCAGTGCAATAGATGAC